CCAAACTCAACCCGTGCTCTTTTAGCCATCGAACAACCACCTCGATTGAGATATCTCCCAGGTACTCTGTCTCTTCAATGCTCTTAGCAGTGATCACTAATGCCACGTCATCGGCGAATGCTACTCTACTCCCCCTGGGAACTGCTGTCTCATCAGTCCATCGTATAGGACATTCCATAGCAAGGGGCCAAGCACCGATCCCTGCGGCACTTCTCCCGTGATGTTGTATGAGTATGTGCCATCGTCGGTGTTATAGTGCAGGGTTCGGTTGCTTAGGTAGCTCGATAGAGCTCTACGCAAATACAGCGGCACCTTCATTCCTTCCAAGGCTGTCATAATGATGTCCCATCTTGCCGAGTTGAACGCATTTCGGATGTCTAATGCGATTACAGCGTACATGCGTCTTGTGCTCCGTCCTCCGCTAAGGCATCTTTGGCCAGGTCCACAACTCGACCAATAGCGTCTAAGGTTGAGCGGCCTTTTCTGAAGCCGAACTGGTTTCCAGAGAAATCCCCCGCTTCAGCTATGGCTGCCTCCAATCTGGCATGGATTACTCTTTCCAGCCGTTTTCCTATAATGTCCAGCATGCACAGTGGTCGGTAAGACGAAGGTTGCTCGGGGGGCTTATTTCCCTTGGGTAGCAGCACCAGCCTTTGCAGCTTCCACGAGTTTGGAAAATGTCCTTCTTGCACGCATGCACTAAATGTATCGCGAATTATTTCAGGGGCATTCAGTGCTGCCGTCTTGATAGCGATTCCCGGTATCCCATCCGGCCCTGGCGCTTTACGGGTTCGAATTATCTTCGCGGCTACTATCAGTTTTGCTTGGGTTACTTCTGTAAACTTGGTTTCATCGTCGATTTCCATTAGGCCTGTTTGTTCTGGTCTCTCCCAATGACTTGGTAACAGATGTCGCACGATTCTGTCGAGGAATAATGGGCAAGATGGTGGTGCGCCACTCCTGGGCTTGATCTTATGCATGACCGTTTTATATGGCCGGCCCCAGGGGTCATTATCTACTTCCTCGCAGAAGTCTCGCCAGCACTATCTCTTAGCTGCTTTGATAGTGACTTTCAGCAGTGATCGCAGCTCCTCATATTTTTTAGTTAGGGCCCGGAAGTCAGGCTTATTCCGTCCTCTTTGGTGGCGTCTTCTGGCTGCGAGACATTTATGCCTCAGGCTTACAATGTCTTGGTTCCACCAATATACCGATAGTCGGCCCCTTGCCTTGTTTTTTGCGGCCATGGATGCATCACATGCAGTTTTCAGAGCTCGCCTGAGGCTCTGCGTCTTTTCCTCAGCGGTTCCGACTAATAATATTCCTTCTAGGGAGTAGAGAAATGACTCTCTGTCGAAGGTATTTGGTGCCCATCTCCTCTTGTTTTCCGTTGTCCTGATGGGTACCGCTTTTTTGGTCAACTGGAGTAGGTACGTTATGGCTTGGTGGTCACTGCCAGTGTACCGATCGCTAACTCTCCAGTTGAGCCCCTCTGCCAGTAGTCTCGCGTCCACAAACGTAAGATCCATTATGGACGACTTTCCAGCCTTAGCATAGGTAGGGGTCGTTCCTATGTTAGACATCTCAAGCTCCAATACTCTAAAGGCCTCGAGCAGTGCTTGTCCTCGGGCATTTGTCTTGGCACTCCCCCAGTCCACTGCCCATGCATTAAAGTCAACTCCAATGACCACTGGTATGCGTGATGACCTGGCGCTGGTAACATTGTCATCCAGAGATCTCTTAAACTCGCTAATCTCTTCGCTGGGTGGGAGATAGCAGCTGTATACTCGCATGCCAGACACTTCTATCCATGTGTAATTTTGGTTCGGGTCGGTCATCCTTGCAGATACGTGCAGGTTACTGCATACCCAAACAACCGCTCTGCCTGTAGAATCCTACACCCAGTTCGGCTCATCGAGGTCACAGTACTTCTCGCTGATGATGACGATATCGGCCTTTTCTTCCCTTATCAACTGGTGCAGCAGGTCTTGGGCCACTGCACAGTGGTTGAGGTTGATTTGTAGCACTTTAGTCATCCTTGACGTGGGGTTCTTCTGCCCGCTTTGTAGCCGTGCAGTTTACTGCCTTATGCCCCTCCTGACCATACCGGAAACATTGCCTGGAGCGGTCGACGTCGCTTTTGCAGTCCTTTGCGATATGACCACTCTCGAAGCACCGGTAGCATCTTTGCGTCGGTGTATAGGGCTGAACTCTACAGTTCACCCATCCTATTCTCAGCTTCCCGTTTTCAAGCATCTTTTTGGCCGCTGCAACCAGGAGTTGATTATGTGCCACTTGGGTGCCATTGTAGAGCCCTCTGATTTTGATGTTACAGCTTGCAGCTATCTCCGGCCCTATGACTGCTGTCACAGCTTTCATCACTTCCTTAGATGTGGTGGTCTCATCCATATCTTTGATCCTGAGGGCTTCCTTGTCAGTTAGCAGGTGGACTTCTGCAGACTTCTGTAGTGTGGCCAGGACCGTCTCTTCTATATTTGGGGATCCCGCCCCTGGTTTTCCTAGTTCAAGGAGTAATTCTCCCGCTCTTGTGTGCCGTATTCGGGTAACTCGTTCCCCTATCTCCTTCATATTGGGTGCTGCTTTAACCTTCCTCAAGATGTCGGTATACGACGTCTCACCCAGTGCCTTAAACTTAATGGTTTCTGGACGAGGTTTTCTGCTCGCGGTTTTGTTGCTTTTGTCCTCTCTGCTCATCAACTTCTTGTTGCCCTCCTTCATGGCCTCTTCCGTTTTTTTGGCTTTGCCCTTTTTTTTAACCTCCTTTCATTCGGTGGCTCTTATTTCGGCAGTCTCCTCTTCGCGTCCCTTTTCCCTTGTAACCGGGGTTGGGTTTTCTGGTCGTTTTTGGCCTTCTTCGTTACTGGCGGTATCTTCGGTGACAGTGGATCCCTCTTATTTTTACCGTTCCTTTCCCTCCTACAAATGGGCGACATTTGGGTCTCGCTATCCCTTGCCGTCTGTTTCCTTGGAACCGCTCTCCGGCTATCAGTCCGTAGCTCACTGTACTCCTTGAGCATACGATCCGTTCCTCTAGCTATCTTCGTGAGTTCGGCGTGGGATATTTTTCTTCTCCAGAAAGAACTCCACCAGATCCCTGACCTTTTTTTCCAAGCTCTTGAAGCTTTTGTCAGCTTCTTGAGCTGTAACTCCTTCTTCTACTTTCATGTTTAAAAAATTATTTTCGCTCATTGTTGTTCCCACGAGTACCTAGGGAACTATCGGTCCGCTCCGGTAGAGCCTCGGTTGCTAGAGTAAGGCTAGATACGAGGGAGTTTCGCCAGGTGCTCCCAAGGCTCCGTTTGTGACTCTCTGTTACCCCCGAGAGCCAACCAGGCTACATCGGCACGGGTCGCGTCACACCTCCAGCTTGGGGGGGCCGTTACCCTGGACGGGGGTCCTTTACCAAGGTGCTATCATCCGGGCCAGGTGAGCCTTGGTTTTTTAACGAGGTTGATACTCCTCCCCCTCCTTCTACCCTGCTTCTTGCGTAGCGGGGCCCCGGGCTAGGGACCGGCAGTGGCGGAGTGTGTGTGTGTGTGTTTGTGTATGTGTGTGCTTTGTTTAATCGTGTCCGCTGTAGCGCTGCTGTTGCCAGCATTGGCCACGCCTCCACAAAGCACATCTGTGTGTGTGGGTATGTGTGTGTGTGTGTGTCGTGATGACTGGTTGATCACATCCGCATGTCACCACTATCCTTGCGTCATATGTGAGCCAGTGCTTCCTTTTAGCCGTGTCCGTTATAGCGTTGCTGCTAGGAGCATTGACACGACGGATACGTCGTTGGCATTTGCCCAGCGAGGGGATTAGCACTCACCGAACCAGCTCTGCTCTCTGTGTGTGTGTGTGTGTGTGTGTGTGTGTGTGTGTGTGTGTGTGTGTGTGTGTGTGTGTGTGTGTGTGTGTGTGTGTGTGTGTGTGTGTGTGTGTGTGTGTGTGTGTGTGTGTGTGTGTGTGTGACTATTAAGAACTAAATTAGTGCCAGAAAAAATAAAAACAACCTGTCTAATCGGGTGCTCACTTCTGACTAACTACTCTCGTCCTCGCTATTCCTCCGTACATTTTGTTTCCACTTCCTTTCCTTCATTCTCTGATTTACGCGTTTTTAATCGCTGCCTTAGTCTTTAGTAAACACGCTGACTATAGCATGCTGTTGCAGCATGCTGCCGCAGCACGCCACAACAGTGCGCTTGATCTTTCTCATCTATTCTCGCCGAGGCGTGCACATGTGCTGCTGACCGTAGCATCTTATCGTTATGCTCTCAGCTCCGGCACGACGTAAGTGAACTTCTTGCAAGCAACCTCTCTCTCTCTCTTTCTATGTTCGGTATAAAATAAAAAAAAGAACGGTCTATCATATAACACTGGAAAATTGATTTATTTTATATATAATAGAATTATTAATACGATCATATTAATAATTCGTGTCAAGTTTAATTTGTCTTTTCATTAATTTTGTGCTTTTTCCTTCGTTTTCAGTTATGCGAAAAGCATGTGTAATAACATGAGATAGTCAAGAAGAAGGCGGCACTTAACCTTGCAACGACAGAGAAATTTTTTAATCATGTTAAATAATCGCTTTATTTAACAGATCGTTACAAAACTGTATAATTATAAAACGAGAAAAATATGTATTTGTAAGATAATGATTTTGTACTTTCTGAATTTGTGAAAAATAGACTAAATCAACACTTTAGAGAAATTGAGCATAATTGTCGTATGGATGCATTTTTTCAAATGGATAATTTATCTGATATTATGTTATATGTTCTTATGGAAAAATAAATTAAAAAAATATTTTTTTATTATTCTGAATACTGACTAATCCCCTTAATACGTTATTTTCAATATACGAACATACAAATTATAGTGTAAACTTTTGATGAGTTAATGTAATCATGTTATTGGAAAATTATTTTTTTAAATATTTCTTACACTTTCTTAACATAATTTGCTATTAATTTTCATAATAATTTGCTTTGCAGGAAAACAATAACATTTGTAACTATTCAAATACAAACCCAGAGTGTGAAATAATTGGTCAAGAAATAAGTAGCATTATGCGTGAAAAGCAATGTATCGAAAAAGACCTTTCTCAAAAAGATGCTGATATAAAAATCAAAATTGGTGAAATAAAGAGCCTTCAAAGTGAACTCGATACTCTAGCTGCTACATTGAGACAGCTTGATAATCAGAAAGGTGAAGCACAAAAGCGGCTAAATGATCTTAAGATACAGGTACTTGATTATAAATATTGAAACATAAGCTATTTTATAATTATTTCCTTAAATTTTTAAGATATTAGACGAAATTTTATCATAATAAATAGTTTTTACCAAATGGTAATAATTTAGTTTACTCTAAAAATATTCTCTACTTTGGTGTACAGTTAAGCCGGCTAGCGTCCCGAGCGGATGCTGGAACAAGGCGCTCGTCCTCTTTTCCTCTCGGTCCTTTTCGGCTCTTTAGCGGCGTGTGCGTTAGGCTGACCCTTTGTTCTCAACTGCACTTTTGACTCTGTACCGCTGACCGACTAAACCGTCTGTACTTCCGATCGACTGGAAACCTTATGACTGACTGCTCGATTCACTACCGTCTGTGTTGCTCGTTTTCTTCCGCGATTAACAGCTTCTTCCTCGTTCTTTCTCTCCCCACTTGACCTACTTATTAGGCGGTGCGCGACCAGTGAGCTAATTGGTTCGCGACGCGCGCCTGCCTAATCTTGCGTGGGGCACGCACGTCCCTGACTCTCTCTCTCTCTCTCTCTTTCTAACACCTCTATACTCTGTCGTCAACATAATAGCTACGGGCCAGCTCGGCCTCGCTCGGCAATCTCTGGCGGCTGAAACAATGACCATGCATTAGGCGCATTCTTACATGTGCCTAACGCTGGTCACCGTGCTTTGCCGAGAAAGAGGGGGAATGAGGGAAAATACCGACGAGAACAAGTGCAACGCTTGCTCTTATCACAGATCATTAGAAAACCTTTTTTCCAAATAAGACGAAATTAGGTATTTCTGCAAATCTGTAATAAAAAAAATAGTTTACAAGATTACTTATGCAGATTATGATAAAGCTTATATTGGTGAAACTAGTAGAGAGTAACAAACAAGAACTATGGAATACAAAAGCAGTGTTAATAATAACAATATAATTTCTATATTGTCTACATATGCGTTTCAGATACATAAAACAAAAATACAAATAGGAATTTTCGGTAATGTTATATATTCATAATATTAAAATTAATATAAACCGGCAGACTTACGGTCGAGAGCTCGGACGGGATAGATGTGTGCGGTGTAAGATAGCAATTTAGGTGGTGATATTAGGATAAAGGAGAGAATAAACAATCGAAAAGTGTACTAGTAGGACGAGCGTAAGGGTAGGTTGCGAAGGAGTGTTAAAGAAGTGAAAGGTAAGGGCGAGTGAGAAGAAAATGAGAGAAAGTACGAAGAGCGGCAAAAGTTTGGTTATGGCGGCAGCGAGCAAGAAGGAAGAGACGAAGAGCGTAGAACAAGAGTGGATAAAGGAGGATCGGGGCAGACCAAAGAAAGTAGGAAACGAGAAGAAGGAAAACAGTGGGGAAAAAGATATGAGAAAGTTAATGCAAAAGGAAATAGGGTTCGCAAAAAGTATCAAATTATGCATACACCACCAAGGAAGCCAGATGAAAGGTCTTACGGTAACGTAGGGAAAAATCACAATGAAATAATTGAGCAGATAGAGGAAATAGAGGACGACGATGACGAGGTAGCAAAAAAAAAAGGAACAATATGAGTTGGGAATGGAGAAGGATGATGAGGAAAAGCGAGAAGAGAATTCGGAGAAAGACAAATGTGAGAAAATACAGAAGGAGCAGGAGGTAAAAGACGCACAGGAGCTGAATGGTATAGAAGGTGAGGCCGATAAGGAACAAAATGAAGCAAGGAGAATAGAAGACCGAGGGACGGATATAAACACAGAAAAGAGCACGAACGCAAGCGAAAATGAGACAAACGAAGAGCAACAAATAATCGTGGATAAAAATAGTGTGGAGGAAGAGAAAGAGCTGGAAATGAATAAGCCGGACGCGATGAAAAAATCGGAATACGAGTTTGAGATGAAAGAGAGGAGAGATAGGAAGAATAATATGTTTATCAGAGGAGTGAGGACGTCGGGAAGAAGATGAAAAGAAGAAGCAGAAGGAATAATAACGGGAATTACAAAAAGACAGTTCAGAATAAGAATGATCCGGCCAATGAGAGGAGGACTACTTTTGACATTTGAAAATTTTGTAGAAAAAATGGTGTTTACAGAACAAGTTGAGATTTTTGAAAAAATAGGTTTAAGTGTAGAGGAAGATAGAACATGCAGACAAATAGAAGTGCAAAAATGGATTGAGATGGTAGCAGATCAAGAAAGGAAAAAACAAAAACAAGTTCAGATGGGCTACCTAAAAATAAGAATCAACGGGAAAATGAGCTTATAGGACGAAAGAAAAAGGGGTCTCGTAGAGGCAAAAGAGAGAATGTTTTTTCAGGGCAGAAGATAAGAAGAGGAGCAGCGGGATCGGAGAGGGATACCACGGAGGGCAATCACGGAACATTTCTACGACAGGTTTCAGAACGAGTGAAGAAGCAGCAATCGAGGAAGAGGACATTGCCAAATATTTAACTTGGCATTCATTATTGGGCCATTTAAAAATTGAACCAATCTCATGTTAACTCATACGCCGCAAGCTTTCAACTTTACTTAATAATGTCCGAGAAACTCTGAAGTATTTCGTTAAACTGATTCAGGATTCCTAATATCAATTAAGTCCAACAATTTGCCAATCGTTATTACGATATGTGTCAATTTTTAATGATCATATGAAAAATTCTTATTATTAATATTATTGATCAATCGGTACAATAGATAAATTGTTTATATTATTTGAATTAACATGATCACTGCTTATATTTATGACTAATTATATTGTAGTTATTACCCTTATTAAACGTTGGACTGATATCAGTCATTAGCAAATGTATTAATTTATAATTTTGAATCATATTCCAAAGGTGACTTCTTATTTTTTCATAATTATAATTGATTATTGAAATACTTTTATTGAGAAAAATTTTTTCTGTTCTCAATAAAATTTTATAATCTGTCTGTAGATAATAAGTAAATGTTATTACTACACATTGGTTACAAAAATAATAATTGGTTGAATTTACATGTAGGTACATCACTATTGTTCAGTCTTTATCTCTTCAATCGTTGCAAATCTCCGTCCTTTCATAGGTCTCTTTAGTTTTGGGAACAAGAAAAAGTCACATGGGGCCAAATCCGGTGAATATGGTGGCTGAGGCATGATTGTGTTGTTGTTTTTGGCCAAAAAATCTCTCACAAGCAAAGATGAGTGAGCAGGGGCATTATCGTGATGCAAAAGCCATGAATTGTTTTTCCACAATTCTGGCCGTTTTCTTCGTATTGCTTCTCGCAAACGGCGCATAACTTCAAGATAATACTGTTTATTGACCGTACGTTCATATGGTAAGAACTCCTGATGCATCACGCCATGGTAATCGAAAAAAACAGTGAGCAAACCTTAGACATTTGATCGAACCTTGCGTGTTTTTTTCGGTCTTGGCTCATCTGGGCTCTTCCATTGGGACGATTGGACTTTGGTTTCGATATCATAACCATATACCCATGATTCGTCACTAGTTATGACCCTTTTGAGTAAATCTGGGTCGTCGTTGACGTCATTCAACAGTTCTTGAGCGATGCTCATGCGACGGTTCTTTTGGTCAAAATTTAGCAATTTCGGAACAAACTTCGCTGACACACGTCTCATGCCCAAAACGTTAGAAAAAATTTCATGGCATGAGCCAAGCGATATACCAACATCCTCAGCAACTTCTCTGATAGTGATTCGATGATTTTCCAGAACAATTTTCTTCACTGCTTGAACGTTTTCATCAGTTGACGTGCTTGGGCGTCCGGAGCGAGGCTCGTCATTGGCATCTTCCCGGCCATCTTGGAAGAGTTTGTACCACTTGTAAACATTTTTTTTACTCAGAACAGTTTTACCGTATGCCACCGTCAACATTTCAAGTGTTTCATAGCACTTTATTTTATTTCTTACACAAAATTTGATGCAAATCCTTTGATCCATATTTTTCGATAGCAAGAAATCACCGATCACGCAAAACACTTATAACCTTTACGCCTCTCACAACCAAACAAAAAATGCTATACACTTGAAACTTGGTACAGATGTTCGGGAAGAGTGTACCAACATAACAAAACATCGATAATCGAAAGTACGTTGCTCGTGAAATTTGAAAAGTCACCTTACTTTTTGAACACACCTCGTATTTCAGAGAGAAATTGTCGTCCAGGTGCTCGACAATCTCGACGAGTCGTTGCTCGATGTCGTCCTTGTCCAGCACGTCGTTGGTATCCATTTGTTTCCCAGAATCGGTTGTTCACACGAGACAACCGAAGAACTTACACCGAGTTCTTAACCAACCTGTCGATATCTGTACCTTTCCTGAACAAAGGTCACTAGCCGAGCGACTTCTGAGGCAGATAAATGTCGCCTGGAAGACATTATGTGATAAATTGGAATTTAAAAGCTGCTATCAGTAATTTCTTAAAAATAATGAAAACAACTGTTGGTTAGTTTTTATTACCAGAAGTCGAAAAGTTTTGAAAAAAACTGTTTTGTGTCATATAATGGCTCTGTAGAAAACGTAAAAAATTTATCGCTCAGAATTTCACGTAATGAGTACCATGGGCACCTTCGGGATATCGACTTTAATTTTATTCAATAAAATTTTTTTTAGGAAAAAAAGGTTTAAATGAGTCCATAGCTTCAATGAGGTAAGTCAAAAATGGCCTCTTGATTTTTTTTAATTTATAAATTTTGAAAATTTAATATTTCAAAAAATAAATTAGCGGGAAGTTACAGGGATGGCCTTTAGGATGAGCCGTTTTCCACATTTTTTGTTGATTTTTTCGATATTTTTTTAAGGAAATTTTACGGAATTTTTTTAGCTTAAGAAAAATTTTATTTTTCAAATTTTTTTCAATTGTCAAAAAAAAATTTTGAGAAAATTTTCGAAATTTCTGAAAAAATTTATTTCGACTTTTTTTTTGTAAATCAATCTTGAGTAAACTCAAAATTGAGTAAAAAGTCGAGAAAAAAAATGAAATTATTGATTTTAAAAAGATTAAATCAAGTTTAAGCAACAAAAATCTT